TCACTGCAAGATCCTTTTTGACCCACCTCCTAGAGAAATGGAAATAAAAACAGAAATAAACAAATGGGACTTAATGAAACTTCAAAGCTTTTGCACAGCAAAGGAAACCATAAACAAGACCAAAAGACAACCCTCAGAATGGGAGAAAATATTTGCAAATGAAGCAACTGACAAAGGATTCATCTCCAAAATTTATAAGCAGCTCATGCAGCTCAATAACAAAAAAACAGACAACCCAATCCAAAAATGGGCAGAAAACCTAAATAGACATTTCTCCAAAGAAGATATACAGACTGCCAAGAAACACATGAAAGAATGCTCAACATCATTAATCATTAGAGAAATGCAAATCAAAACTACAATGAGATATCATCTCACACCGGTCAGAATGGCCATCATCAAAGAATCTAGAAACAATAAATGCTGGAGAGGGTGTGGAGAAAAGGGAACACTCTTGCACTGCTGGTGGGAATGTGAATTGGTACAGCCACTATGGAGAACGGTATGGAGGTTCCTTAAAAAACTACAAATAGAACTACCATATGACCCAGCAATCCCACTACTGGGCATATACCCTGAGAAAACCATAATTCAAAGAGTCATGTACTAAAATGTTCATTGGAGCTCTATTTACAATAGCCCGGAGATGGAAACAACCTAAGTGCCCATCATCAGATGAATGGATAAAGATGTGGCACATATATACAATGGAATATTACTCAGCCATAAAAAGAAACGAAATTGAGCTATTTGTAATGAGGTAGATGGACCTAGAGTCTGTCATACAGAGTAAAGTAAGTCAGAAAGAAAAAGACAAATACCGTATGCTAACACATATATATGGAATTTAAGAAAAAAAATGACATGAAGAACCTAGGGGTAAGACAGGAATAAAGACACAGACCTACTGGAGAACAGACTTGCGGATATGGGGAGGTGGAAGGGTTAGCTGTGACAGGGCGAGAGAGAGTCATGGACATATACACACGTTAACAAACGTAAGGTAGATAGCTAGTGGGAAGCAGCTGCATAGCAGAGGGAGATCAACTCGGTGCTTTGTGACCACCTAGAGGGGTGGCATAGGGATGGTGGGAGGGAGGGAGATGCAAGAGGGAAGAGATATGGGAACATATGTATATGTATAACTGATTCACTTTGTTATAAAGCAGAAACTAACACACCATTGTAAAGCAATTATTCTCCAATAAAAATGTAAAAAAGAAAATGAATGAAATGTTGCAAGGTTCCCCTTTAATGATGCCAACTATCACTACTTCTATTTAACATTGTACTCAAGGTTCTAACCAGTAAATAAGTTATGGAAAAAAAAAAGAAAGGAAGAAATGAAACTGCCAGATGATATGATTGTGTATATAGAAAAAAAAATCTATACCTCTGTTATTAGTTTAGTAATTCTGCTGGAAATAAATAAACATTGTTCAAAATCAATTCTATGCCCACATAAAAGGAATCAACAATTAGGGAGTTCCCTGGTAGTCTTATAGGATTTGGCACTTTCACTGCCATGGCCCAGGTTCAATCCCTGGTCAGGGAACTGAGATCCCATAAGCCGCGTGGCATGGCCAAAAAAAAAAAAAAAATAGCAATCAACAATTAGAAAACAATTTTTGAAAACGATGACATTTATGAGACTGTAAGAATATAATGTTATATATATAAAATTTATGTGTAGTATACATTATCATATTATATAATTTTATAATATTACTAAAATATTTTTAAAATATCAATGACCAACTATACACCTACAAAGGATGTTCTGGGCCTCTGGTGAAAGCTATAAAAGTTTATGTATGTGTAGACACTAAGGAAGGCCTAAATAGTGGGGAGATCTAACATATTCAAGGATTTGGGGATTCAAGGCATGTAAAAATATTAATTTTCCCAAAAACTGATCCATAGATTCAATACAATCTTACTTTAAAATATGACACTTATCATCAAATTCACAATTAAGTGTATGAAAAAGCAAGCCACAAAAAAAGAAAGAGATCTTTGAACCACTTATAATTGACAGTGGGCTTGATCCAGACATATAAACTACTATAAATTACAAGCAAAGGCAGAAGACCCAATGGAAAATGGGCAAAAAAACTCTAGATACTTCAAAAGAAAAAATCCAAATAGCCATTTATATGAAAAAGTGCACACCCTCATAAGACATCAGGAAAATGAATGCTAAAATGAGATATAATGATATATTACCAAATTGACAAAAATTTAAATGTTTGAATATTCTAAGTGCAGATGGACGAACATATGAAGGAACAGAAACTCTCATATAGCATGTGCAAATAAAAATTAAGACAAACCTTTTGGAAAACATCATGGCATATCTAGTATAGAAGAGGGTACACATGTATGACCCAGTGAATTCCACTCCTAAGAAATACCCTAAATAAAAGTGTGTACATGCAGACAGGAAACATACAGAAGAATCTATAAGACTGTTATTTGTAACCAAAGATCAGAAACCATTTATGCATCTATCAATAGAATGGGTAAATAAACTGATCTATAGTCAGACAATGGAATATCATGCCAAAATGAAAAATCAGTGAATTACAGCTATTTTTTACAACCTGGAGGAATATTAAAGACATAATGTAAAACTAAACTATAGTATTTAGGGATGCAAACTTAGATGGTGAAACTATTAACAAAATTATGCAATTACTTCATTAGTTAGGAGAGTGGGTGGCTTGGTGGATAGCTGTGATGGAAAACAGCAGGCCAAGGATTTCTGGAAGGTGGTCAATGTTCTATATTTTGTCCTGAATTGTGGTTACAAAGATATTCATTTTAAAATCTTTTGTAAACATTTATGTTTCATGTACTTTTTCATTTGTGGTATATTTCACATAAGCAAGGTTTTAAAAAATGAAAAACAAGGTCAACAAAACTGAGAATAGTGGTCATTTTGAGGGGAGAAAGGGATTGAACTGATGGCAAACTGGGAACTTCCAAGGAAATTGCAATGTTCCGTTTCTGAAGCTGAGTGGTAGGTACACTGCTGTTTCTTCTATTATTACATTTTAACTATACATGTACTTTATATATTATTTTGTATCTACAATAGCAAAAGCAAGTAAAAGAAAACACTGAAAAACTGGAATTCATCAAAATTAAAAACTTTTGCACTTCAAATTACAGCATCAAGAAAGTGAAAAGAGGGACTTCCCTGGTGGTCCAGTGGTTAAGAATCTGCCTTCCAATGCAGGGGGACACGGGTTTGATCCCTGGTCGGGGAACTAAGATCCCACATGCTGCGGGGCAACTAAGCCCGTGCACCACAACTACAGACCCCACGCGCTCTGGAACCCATGCACCACAACTACAGAGCCCACGCGCTCTGGAAGCCCATGTGCCGCAATGAAAGATCCCGTATGCTGCAACTAAGACCCCAACACAGACAAATAAATAAATAAATAAATAAATATTTAAGGAAATAAAAAGGGAAAAGATAATCCACAGGAGAAAATATCTGCAAATCACATATCTGATAAGGAATTTATATCCAGAATATATAAGAAACTCTTTCAACTCAATAACAAGAAGATGAATAACACAATTTTAAAACATTAAAGGATTTGAATGGACTTTTTCTCTAAATAAGATATACAAAAAGATGTGCCAATAAGCAAATGAAAAGATACTCTCAGTATCAGTAGACTTTAGGGAAATGCAAATCAAAATGACAATGAGATACCACTTCATACACACTAAGGTATGAAATATATATAATAAAAAAGAAATAATAGTGTCAGTGAGGATTTAGAGAGACAGGAACCTTTATTCATTGCTGGTGAGAATTTAAAATGGAGCAGCCACTTTGAAAAAGTTTAGAAATTTCTCAAAATGTTAAAGATAGAGATACAATACAACCCAGCAAATCCATTCCTAGGTATCTACCCAAAAGGAATGAAAACATATGTGGACACAAAGACATGTACACAAATGTTCATAGCAGCATTATTCCTAACAGCCAAAAAGTGGAAATGATTCAACTGTTCATCAACTCATAAATGGATAAAAATCTGGTCTATCAATATTTAGGAATACTATTTGGCATTAAAAAAAGAAGTACTGATACATGTCACAACATGAATGAACCTCAAAAACATTATGCTTAGTGAAAGAAGCCAGACATAAAAGATCACAGTCTATAATTCCATTTATATGAAATGTCCAGAACAGGCAAATCTATACAGACAGAAAGTAGGTTAGTTGCTGCCTAGGGTTGGTGCTGTGTGGAAATAGAGGGTGACTGCTAATAGGCTTCAGGGTTCTTTTTGGGGTGATGGAAGTGTTCTAAAATTAGATTGTGGTGATAGCTGCATAACTCTGTAAAGATACTAAAAACCATGAAATTGTACATTTAAAATGCATGAATCTTTTGACATGTAAATTATCTCAATAAAACTTTTAAAAAAGTTGTCTAGTAAGCTAGCTTCCATAAATACGATTGCAGTTTTCTGAAAGAAGTCATCTAAAACTTTTAGAAGTTGATCTTGTTTTATTAAGTTTATTAAGTACTCCCTGCTTCCCTGTTCTTCCCTCTTTAAGAGGGGAAAATTACAGGGCTGAATGAATATCAATTTATTTAAATATGAAAAAGTATAAATCTTCACAGATTAAAAATAAATATTCTCAACTGCTAAATAACTGAGACTATTTCTTAGGGCTGACAAAATAAAATGGATTTTAAAAATGAAGAAAATAGGCTATAAGTAAGGCAACCTTCAAAATTCTAAATGACAGAATATAGAGCTTTATACCATAAAGCTTGAGGTAATTAATAATTTTAGAAACAACTTAGTACAAGATGGGCAATATTCTCAAAACCTTAATGTCTCCACAAAATAAATAAAACTCAGAGTACTTCTGCATCAGCTAGTACAATAATCTGTTATTAAAGGGTATATCCTTGGAAATATCTGTCTTTCCAGATAAAACTTCTGTAGGAGGGTTGTTTTTACCGTTGATGTGAGGAGGAAACTGCCGGGCCTTGTTAGCTGAGGAACTGATGTTCCTGCAATTGCCATGGCAACTGTCTGGCTTATCATGCTTCCGCTCTCACTCTCATAATCATCGGTGGCTATACAGATTGGTCTTCCTCGTTGATTGTGAGTTTCTGGAAAAAAATCACCCAAAAATAAATAAAGAAAACTTCTGTTTAGCTTAATTAACGCTATTGAGCAAGCAATTCCCTTTCTTATTCTCCTTTACTCTTCAAAGAAAAACCTATTAACATATACTGCTTATCATTATATTTACTTCTTTTAAAAATAATTTAAATATTTTAAACATTAACTCATTCCTGTAGTAATATTTATAGTTTTGTAGAGAACTTTAACTTGCTAGTAAAAGAAGATAAAATAATATAAATTTCTGCCTTCAGATAAGGAAACCTGCTTTAGTGATCAAAATACTGGGAAAACTACTCTACTATTAGTCTCTCAAAGGGAAAGAGTTGCTATCTTTATATCACCAGCACCTACTGATAATACATATTAGATACCAGTAAAATTTTTTTAATTGAACTGGAAGTACTTTATCAGGTTAATTGCTAGTTCAAATGCAACCTACAGTGTTTTCTCTAAGGCAAATGAAGGAATTGAAGTAAATTCTAAAAATGGAAAGCAAGAGGAATAAAACTTTGTGGGTTCCAGTTTTTAAAAAGTAACAAAACTTCAACTTATTAACCCAGTATTAGCAATAAACATCATTGTTGTTATTCAGGTGAATATTAATTTCAATTTTATGTATATGAATAAAATCGAGACTGAGGGTGGTGGACATCTAGCAAGTTTTCTCATATTGTTTTTTTCAGATGAACAGTATACACTCACACAAAAAAAATCCTATTTCCTAATAGGTAGGTATAGAAATGTTATAAAATCATTATTTAAAAATTTGTCATAAGAAATGCTTACAGAAACCTTGCAGTGAATTTTCTCACACAGTCAAAAGCTTTTCAGAAATATGTTATGTATTTACAGTGTACCTATGTCAGTGTAAGTTTCCTTATATTTCTTTTCCTAAAATAAGATCACCTTTGAGATATTTTCTAATACTTTTAAACACTGAGATTTGCCTTTAGTTTGTCTTAAATATACTAAGTACCTGTAAAATCATACAGCTGAGGAACAGTTTCCATGATAATGCCAATCAGAGGTAGATACAACATAGCCACCCGAGCCTTTATCTGGGGGTCAGAGTACCGTGGGTCTGAGTCGTGACTGGATAGTAAATTGTGTACCATATTGATGACTTTCTTATGCAATCCAAACAGTCTATTTAAAAAGAAGATGAAGAAGCAGCTGCAGTAAGGTCACAGAGATTAGTTAATATCTTTAGAGCAAACAGTAAGTCATGGTACTGAACCACTTTATTCAGCTTCTTAACTTTGCCACATATTTGCATGTATTCCTATAAAACACTTCTCATTTTAAAATTAATCAATGTCCAAAAAATAAATAAAATTAATATCTCGCTGTACAAAATAAGAACTGAGGCAAAAGGAAATACTATACAAATTCATTTAAGAGTAAATCCGAATATTTTGTCATTAACTCCTTAGGGCATTTTAATATTAAATAACTCAAAACCAGTTACGGTTATATTTTAAAGCAAAAAATGTAGGGGCTTCCCTGGTGGCACAGTGGTTGAGAGTCCGCCTGCCGATGCAGGGGACACGGATTCGTGCCCCGGTCCGGGAAGATCCCACATGCCGCGGAGCGACTGGGCCCGTGAGCCGTGGCCGCTGAGCCTGCGCGTCTGGAGCGTGTGCTCCGCAACGGGAGAGGCCACAACAGTGAGAGGCCCGCATACCGCAAAAAAAAAAAAAGTAAATTTTAAGTAGTTGTAAATTTTATTTCATCAAATAAAATCTTTTCACATTTAACCAAAATAAACTTTTATTTCCTTTATCTAAAAGAAAAATCCTCTACCTAATGGGCTATGTAGTCCATGGCTAGGGTTGCCTTCGACATCTCTATTTAAACTGAACTTCCTTGCTCATTTGGGCCCTTACAACTTTCTAGACTCCCAATCCCAAGTTTCAACTGGCTAATACACTAGCGAGGATCACTCTCATCTTCACACTTTTTTGGCTTCTCTTCTTAGACCGAAGCTGCTTTGACTATGAAAAACATTCTAAAGAAAAATTCATCCAACTTCAACTGCCCTTAATACTGTACCTGGCAGCTGTTTCAGATCTTATTCTCTCTCCTTAAGCCTCTCACCATCAATCTCAATAGAAGACCTTACCTCCAACTTTCTTTTAGGAAAGAAAAGCCGTTCTGAATTTGCTCTGGCCAGGTCTTTTAACACATCTCCATCTTTATAGCTACCAAATCATCTTTCCTTTCATCTCAGAAAAAATTCCTTCTTCAATAGCTTCAGTGTCCCTCCTCACAAGTTCTTCCCTTCTTTCCTATCTTGAAAATACATGTTCACTTGAAACTAGTTTGCTCTGGCTTATTTATAGTATTTCTCTTAGTAATAAACTATAATATGATTTCTCTAGTAATAAACTTCCTGAATGTGCAGTATATATCAAGCGTTTTTTTCCATTTACTTCCTAATATCTACTCTCTTTCTCTGAAACTAAAAGTTTTTGAATGCTTACCACATGGTATTGTACCCCTTTCATCATTTAATAGCTAAATGATTTTTCAAAGATACTTAACCTCTGTTTCCCTATCTATGTATGAAGGTAATAACCTACCTCAGAAGGTGGCTGTGAAAATTAAGTTACATAATTTATGTAACATGCTTATTAGCACAGTGCCTTGCACACTGCCTTTTCCAGTAAATATTAGCTTTTCTGTTTTAAGATCACACAGCATATTTAAAAGCTAGGACTGGAAACCAGGTATTCTTCCTCCGGGGCTCTTTAGCTTATCTACCATTTTACGTAGCTATATATGAAATCTACCTGGAGATTCTTCTTCCTTCCAGTTTTTATTCAGAAAGTATATTTTTAAATACTGTCAAGAACTCCATCTAATGGACATATCTCAGATTTCATTTTCTAGCTCTCTACTTGACACTTTGTCATCTTTTATGTTTTCTTCTCAGTGTTTTCTCCAAAGAGTTCCCATTATTCCTCATATTCTCCATCATTCTTCCCACGTCTCAGATTCTGATCATTTGCCTTTTATGTTCTCCCTTTCAACTTGTATCACCAGTGATGATTCCCAAACCTGGGTATATATTTAACATCTCTCACCAGCTACCAGCACCAGACTTCAACCTATCTAAACTCTACCCACTGGTCTTCATGAAGCCTTTTCATGTGTCTACATTACTCAATCACATTCAGCCATTATACACATACACACACACACACACACACACACACACACACACACACGCAGGACCTGTCATATCCTATGCTAGATGTTGGAGATAAGACATTGTCCCTGTTCTTAAAGAGCTTGCTTTAGCAAGAGAGAAACACAGACACAAAAATAATAATTCAGTTTTACAAATGCTATAATAAAGGTGCTAATCTTCTTCAAAACTAGGTCTGTACTACAAAATTTGCATTTAACCATAGTATCCTGTTTCAACGTTGTAACTTTCTAACTGCAATGAAAATTTCTAGAGAGCAAATATTTGGTCATTATTAGAACATATGGGGCTTCCCTGGTGGCACAGTGGTTAAGAATCTGCCTGCCAATGCAGGGGACACGGGTTTGAGCCCTGGTCCAGGAAGATCCCACATGCCGTGGAGCAACTAAGCCCGTGCGCCACAACTACTGAGCCTGCGCGCCACAACTACTGAAGCCCGTGCGCCTAGAGCCCGTGCTCTGCAACAAGAGAAACCACCGCAATGAGAAGCCCACGCACCACAATGAAGAGTAGCCCCCGCTCACCACAACTAGAGAAAGCCTGCACGCAGCAACAAAGACCTAACACAGCCAAAATTAAATAAAATAAATAAATTTTTAAAACAATATTAGAACATATTATTGCTACTCAAGGAATTATTTTTGATTACTTAGCAAGCAGAAGGAATAAAAAGAAAAACAATCCTCTTAAGGGTCTATCTAACAAATGTATGTTGTATTTTATCTATGTAAATATAAGAAGAATGTAAAACTTAGAGATGTGAGTCTCTCATAGTCAATCATTCATTCACTGAATTAACATATACTTATCAAGTGTCCACTCTGTACCAGACACAATTCTAATGCAGTGGGAATACAGCAGTGAATAAGAAAGTGCCTGCTCTCTTGAGCTCACATTCTAAGGGAAGGGGACAGATAATGAACAAACAAGCAAATTTCAGGTAAGTGCCTTGTAGAAAATAAAACAGGCTTATCTGGTTAAGAATAACTGTGGCAACGGCAACACAGCTATAATTCAGATTGGGTGGCCAATGACAGTCTCAGTGAGTAGATGATACTCTTTGAGTGGAGACCTGAAGAATCACAAGGAGGAAATGCCTATGTGGAGATCTTAGGGCAATTTCAGCATTGCTTCAGGCAGAGAAAAGTCCTAGTCCAAAGGCCCTAAGGTGGGACTGGGTTGGGCCCATTGGAGAAACAAAAAGAAGGCCAGGATGGCTAGATTTTAGTATGTGAGGAGGGAAGAGAGTGGCAGTGTAGACAACAGCTAGATATATAGGGCTTTGGGGTCCATTATTAAGTCTGAATTTTATTTTAAATGCTATTTTAAAAGCACACACTTTTAACTTTTAAAAGTTAAGTGTGCTTTTAAACACATTAAAGAGTTTTAAGCAAGGAAGTGACGTAATTTAATTTTCATTTCTAAAAGACCATGTAGGCTGCTGGGTAGAAAAGGGATTTTAGGGAGGGAAGAATGGAAGCATGATTAGGGGAGCAGCAGTAAAGACGGAGAGAAGTAGCTAAACTTGGGATATATTTTGGAGATAGTATTAAGGCATTTGCTAATGGACTGGGTGCAGGAAAGAGTGAGAAAAGGAGGAAACAAGCAACAGTTAAAGCTTATAATCCTGTATATTACTATTTAAAGCTCTTCCAGTTATCTTTTTTAACTCAATAGACAAAGTAGTAGTGAACACAGTTATCACGGCTTTCAGACTTGATAGAAAATCTTTCCAAGTGTCAAAGGACCAACTCTGAAGACCAGCTGGAAGAGATAAAAAAGAAGTCTTTCATAGGTCCTATATTGTTCCACAGAAATGTATCTATTTTAATAGAACTGATCCTTCATGTGAGAAAGAAACCTCATCACAAAAATAGTTGACTGTTAGAATTCTCTATTTTTTATCAGACACTGCTGAACACCTACACAACATCTCCTTCCCCTGTCTTCCTTCCTAATAGAATGTAAAAATTTTCAGGTATACGTTCCTGCCCCCGTGACTCAGGGGAAGCTGACTCCATTCCCCCAGTTTCTGAAGTAGATAGATCCAATCAGACTAGCCCTGCTACTTAAAGCAGACAGTCAGTAAAGCTGTTTCATTATCAGTGTGAGAAGAGATAAATGTTAATTAACTAATTGCTTCCTTAACTGAGAAGGTCTACAAAAAAAAAATATCATATGAACTGAACACTTTTTAGTGACAGCTGATTTACATTTAGGCATGAGGTCCTTACCTTCTGCTTTGTAACAAACCACCCATGAACCAAAACCAGTCTAAGCACCACATTTGAGTAGAAGTGATCTAATCCATCCAGGAACCTGGCATTACTCTGGTGACTGTAACAGTACAGGATAGGCAAGTGAGCCAAATCAGTCCAAAGAAAAGATGTGCACTGCATGCTTGAAAGAGGGTTTTTTTCCCTCTGTCCTCTGCTGGACATGAACAAGTAATAATCTAAGCTCAATTGCCAGAGCAACTATCTTACAGTCATGAGAGGCACACTAGCCTCAGGATAAAGCTGAGGGGTTTCTATAGAAGTAAGAGATATAAAGAAACAGAACCCTGATAACATTATTGAGCTGCTGAGTGTGCTAAAAACCTTACCTTTCTTCCAATTATGAAAAAATAAACATCCTTCCTTTAATAAAGCCAGCCAGTATGAAGAAAGGTTTTCTGTTTCTGGTAACCAAACTTATCCTGATGTATTAAGTAAAAATACTGGAAATATAGAGTCAAATGATTGAGATATAACAGTTATTAAAGAGAGGTAGTATGTTTAGAAGTTGTTTTCAGAGTGATTTTTTTCAAACGATGGATCCTTCCCCCCTAATGACATTATATTCATTTATCAATGGCAAAATATAAGAGTGGTGGCAAGCAGGGGCGGGAGACCCAGGGTTTCACCCACTTAGTCTGTCCTCTCCATACTCCAATGTCTACACCCCAACCCCATCCTACATGGAAGCACATTAAGGACCTTTTCACAACCTTACAGTTCTGCAGAGCACAGAGTGAAAAACTGCTTCTTAAAACTATATTCCTAATGCAAGAAGTTGCTGTTATGAAAACAACTCATGCCTTTCATTTGCAGAAGCTTTAGCCTTTGACAGTTTACTTAGCATTAACCATGTCCCTATCGCTAAGAACTTTACAAGCATCCTTTTTCATTCGTTCAACAAATACATCATAGGATTCTTAAAAAACCTGCTTAAAAGTATCTCCTTTTGTTCTCTGGAGCTCTTACTTCAGGTTAAACTGCATTACAAACTCCTAATGATACTATCATGGAAAAAAAAAGCAATTATTACCCAAATGAGTTACAGTCATTCAGATTTTTGAAAACAGCTGTTAACATAGAAATACCCTATACGGATCTTAGATCACAACACATTTATAGAAAAGCTATTTCTATAAATTCAAATCATCAGACAATATACTCTTCTTACTATATCAATTTCCAGTAATTCTTTAAAAGTATACACAATTTTGGAAGTTTCTAAAACCTAAGGACATTTGTTTATAGAGCAAATTTTGAAGTACATGCTACAGAGTATGATGGCAAATCATAAATTTTCCTCACAAGGAATCAAACAGACTAGTCTACTTAACTGAAATGTGCCTGCTGTATATCAGCAAATCTAAAAGTCCATCTACTAACATGCACAAATATTTTATGTACTACTAAGAAGGAAAAAAAGGCCACCAACTAAACCATGATGCAATGTTGATTTCAAGACAAACATCAAATTCAGAGATGACAAAAAATGTCTTTCTTAAAACTGATGAAATATAGAAATAACATGAGTATGGAACTTAGTGAACACAGAAGTAGAAGAAGAGTGGTAAACAGTATTCTTTTGATTCCTAGGAAGTTAAGTGGATACTTCTGTCCCATTGTCCAAAATCAATTAATATTCTACACGGCAAAAACTGGTCTACTCACCCTTCAGCATCAGGATCTAAAATGACAGCCAGCTCTGTTAACACAAGTCCTGCCAAATAATGTTGCTGGCGGAAAGGCACAGACAATTCAAACATATTTGCAATCTTCTGGTCTTGCACAGTGGTGGAAAATCCAGAACTCTGTTTGGGAGTGAGGTAGAACAAAACTATAACAGCTATGCAACAAAACATTCTATAGACAGAGCACTACAACAAATGAGATGTGAGCATTATCTGAAAGTGAGATAAACTTTTTAAGTTTATTTTTACATTACTATTATTAACATTGGAGAAAGTAACTGCTCTTACTTTTGGTATAGGAAACTATGATGAAATAACATTTTAAATTATTTTCAATTTCCTTTTTCTCATATTAAAATCTTTTCATCTGCTTTTTCCTTTATACTTTTAGCCACTTAATGTTTCAATATCATACTCTGACGGGAAAAAAGGAACTAAATCCATATGATACATTATGTACTCACTGCTGAGTACAAGAGAAATATTCATAGTCAAGGCTATCTATGGGTTTCCAGAGAAATTTCAAATACTATGAAGTTGTTTTTCAGGGAAAACACTATCTCCAGAAAACTACTGTCTTTTTTTGTCCACTCACTGAGTTTTTAAGAGTTTTTTAATACTGTAAAATAGCATCCCGCCCCCCCCACAAGATGCTTAAGGCAAGAATGTCCTCAATCTCATCATCCTTAATCCATATTCAAGACCGCCCATGCGAGGTTTCTTAGAAGAACAGACTTCAGATTTCTCTATGGAGGAATCATCTTCCTAATAAGCGTATAACACTATCCTTGCCCCCACCTCCCAAAGAGTGATGTCTCTGTCATCTATTAGAACCTGAAAATGCTGCAGTTAGATGAGAAAGTAGGGAACAAGATAATGGAAGAAATTCTGTTAATTTCTTGGCTGAATGAGATGTTCAGCAGGGAGTCAGGTGTAAACAAATGTGTTTCATTAAAGGTTTTAGGAACTGTACCTTTGATTAATTTGTACTTGACTGTGTAGCCACATCTTTGACAGAGGATGGGGGAAGGGAGCAAAAGACTAGCCTCATTTGTTATTGGAAGAAGTGTGTCCTAGCCAGGTAAAAGTATGTGGAAAAAGGCTGATCCTTAAGAATTTTTGCAAAGGTAAAATGAAAAGTTGGGGGTGTTCTCTGATGTTTTCTAATCTTTCTGAGTAAAGTTTAAAATTTAGTTTATCAAACATCTGAGGTTGATCTAGTGTAGGGAATTACTTTCAGGAATTAAATATCTCAAAAATAAACTTATAAAGAGTTCATATCAACTTTCACTTTAGACATTAAGAGCTTAAGGAAGTAGCTTGTTTGCCTTAGGAATTATATAGCAAAAAGATGTTTCACTAGGAGGGAACATCCAGGCTTCTCTGATATGAAAACCACAAAATTGCTTCATTTCAATCTGTATGACAGGACACATAATAATTGCTACGATAACCCTTTGTCATCTTTAGAGCAACTACTAGGCACCCTGTGAAAATCCATAAACACCCATCTAGTTTCCTTTGGGTTCTCTGGATACAAGAGAGGCAGGTAGGGCTTTTCCAGGACTGCACTGCAGTTTGACTTCTTTCTCTGCTAAATTACGCTTCATTCCCCTTCCTTTCACAGGTATTGACATCTAATAAATACCTTGTCTCCCAAACTCAGTCTGTGTCTGCCTCAAAAAAACCCAACCTGTGAAAACATCAAGTGAGTTTATGTAGTTGAATTCACTCCCTTGTGCCTGAATCGGTAAGAGGGGTACAACAAAGTGGTTAAAACTTGGGCCCTAGAATAAGCCAACACGTGCCATGGTTCAAAGCCTAGATCTGCCAATTTTTACTATATGTGACCCTGGGTAAGCTACTGACCTTTCTGTGTTTCAATTTTTTTCACCTGTAAAATGGGGATAATAATAGGACTTACCTCCTAGAGTTCCTGTGAGGAGTAAATGATTAATACTTATAAAGTACTTAACCATTTAATACTTATAAAGCACTTAGTATGGAGCCTATCACACAGCTATTATTCAACAGTGTTACCTTTCATGTTTTCCAGTGTTTAGAATGCTTTTTCCACAAGTCTGGACATAAAAAAATTTGTTTTCATACATTTTGCATACCTGAGATGTTGCAGAAGAAACAGAAGGTGATGGCGATGCAGGTGGAGTTAGCAGGCTGCAGGGTAAGTTTAAGGTAACATAGTGCTCATGGCTGCTGATGATGCGCAGAAAATCCAGCCTCAGGGACACCAAGACACTTGGAGTTGGTAATGAATAAAGCTTTGAAGATACCTTGTAAGCGTTGCATAAATAAGAAAACACCAATTGAACATATCATTTCTCTACTACCAATACCAGAATGATGAATTAAAGAATTAAAGTGATTTCTAAATTAAAGGGAGATGGCTAAGAAGGAGGAAATAGCTTCTTCCTCTTAGTCTATGTCATTGTTGAGTGTCAGAAACCCTTGTATTCGACAGAATAACTGTTTTGGGGGAAACTATTACTACCTTTAAAATAAAGCGCTGAGAGAGAGGGGGAAGATGACGGAAGAGTAAGACGCGGAGATCACCTTCCTCCCCACAGACACATCAGAAATACATCTACATGTGGAACAACTCCAACAGAACACCTACTGAACGCTGGCAGAAGACCTCAGACCTCCCAAAAGGCAAGAAACTCCCCACGTACCTGGGTAGGGCAAAAGAAAAAAGAATAAACAGAGACAAAAGAATAGGGATG